TTCCCCAGCAGCGGCCCCCCCGGCCAGCTTTCCCCAGTTTCTATACTGAGCATGACGTCCCATGGTATGGAATGTCCCTCTGGCCAGTTGGGGTCAGCTGTCCTGGCCGTGCCCCCTCCCAGCTTCTTGTGCACCTCCAGCCTGCTCAGTCGGTAGAGCACGGGGAGCTGAGAAGTCCTTGACTAGTGTAAGCATTACCTAGCAACAACTAAAACATCGGTGTGTTATCAACATTGTTCTCATCCTAAATCCAAAACACAGCACTGTACCAGCTACTGGGAAGGAAAGTAACTCTGTCCCAGCCGAAACCAGGACAGACCAACTGAGAGCAATTGCAAGGATCAGCCTTTGACTTTTGCACTGCTGTTGCAAGCACCTCCAGTAATTTAGCTTGCAAGGGAATGGTTAGCAGGGTGCAGAAGCAATCACACCCAGCATTAGCAGCAGAGACGAAATAGTGTCTGCAGCCCTGTTGGCACGCTCAACCTGAAATTACCCATTGGCACACAGCGATGGTAAGAGACTTCCTCTTATGTTGCAAATGTTTGCACAAAATCAATTAAATGATTAGATACAGGCCCAGCTCCAGTGAAGCTTGGATCAATCCTTTCAAGCTCCCAAAGGGGGAAACACTTTCCAAACAAGGACGAGATTTTTAAGGAGGTGCCTTTCAGTTCCCATGGGAACTAGCCTGCTCTGTGCTAAGCCGGCACCATGAGATGGTGCCTACAGCAGCACCATGCCCATGCAAAGGGAAAAAGGGCCTGGCACCTGGGGAGAGGCCACCAGGCTATTGCACAGCCGGGTCATTCTCAGCCGTCCCTCGTTATTTTTCTTAGGTTATTCAGAGCTATGGAACAGAACATACTGGCCATTTAACCTGTACATCCCTCCTGGGCTAGTATTATCCCATTCCAGATTTCTCTACAGTACTACCTGTGGGAGGGGATTGCTTCTGGACAAAATAAAATAGGATTTTGGAAGAAGCCAGTGCTGCTGAGCCCAGTGGTAAATCAGAGCCTTGCAAGCACTGGGTTCTGAATTTCCCTGTAACCCCATGGTATCAAGAGATGGGATCAACTCCAGTAGCTTCCAGATACGCTCTTTCTCAGATCCAGGAGAGCAGAAATACTAAGTCCCGTAACCACAGCTTTATTTTTATAGCCCCGTAGTTAAGTAGGGAAATGCAAGAATATCACAGGTGCCAGGGTAAGGACTCTCAGATCCAAAATCACACCTAAGCCACCTCCTTAACGGTACAAAGAAGATACAATCTGCTATAACAGAATCTGTTACATTATCGGGTGGATAGTCTGCATGAAAGCACAGATAATATCTTACTACAGTAATGAGGCTTCAGAAACAGAAATAAACTGCAGACCCAGCCAGTGTCTGTGGGAAATACGACAGTGATGTACCTTCAGGGAAAACTGGCAGGAATGCATAAGATAGGCCATGGTTACTGTGCTGCTCCGGCTTATCCCCAGGCTGGAGAACACCAGCACTGCTCCGCGATCCAGCTGAGCATCTGAGTAAAGAAATGCCAATCACAAATTAGTGATCTGGGAAATCGAGCTTCCAGTTGTACAGTCAAGCTCTAATTCAGTGACAGCTGACAGGCTAGCAGCCTGAGCGACAGGAGCCCTCGTGAACCCTGACAGCAGCAGACGGGCACTGCCAGCTCCCGTTTCTGTAAGCATTTGCCTTTCTTAAGAATCCACTGAGTTAAAATGTGGCTTTGAAGACCAGAACCAAATGACAATGACCAGTCAATGCCTCATGACAGATCAGTGCCACCTTTACATCAGATAACTGAAGAAAAGTGGCCTACCATGACCAATCAGCTGTGTGGTCAGCATCGCATCAGCTACTCAAACTCTTCCCAGAAAGGTTTAAAGGTATTAAAATTTCTGATGAATGCAAGCCTAACTGTCGTCCACTGAAGCTAGAGGAGTCAGCTCTCAAACTGGAGGGACTTAGACTTCAAATCCTTTACCCCTCCATGGGGATCACCGGCGGAAGCATGTACGTGCCACCTAGGGCATTGGTTTTATGATATTTTTATGAAGGATACTTTGCAGTGAAAATTGCTAAGGTCAGCAAACTCATTTTCTACAAAAGCTAAGCCCGCTTGGCTTTAAGATGATGCTGTCACTCGCTCCTAACCACATCAACTCTGCTACCTATGCCTGAAAGGTTCTATATTTTATTAATAACCTTTTGAATTCTTTCCCTCCCTCTCCAGAGCAGACAGTATGATGTGGTTTTGGAATATCAGCAACCAAACTCTAGAATTCATAGGGCAAAGCCTCTTCTTTTACTGCTGTCGAGAGGTTGTGGGGTTTTGTGGTTTTTTCTTCAAGCTCTAAACCAGAGTTTTCTGACTTATTTCTATCGTGAGATACTAGTTCTGTTCTAAGACCTGAGTAGAAATGGCCTCACTCCAACATACACCTGGCATGAGGACACTCACACTCCTCTCAGAGTATTTTAGTCTAGTGTTCACCCATAACCGTTCCAGTTTACGTAATCTACTCTAGACTATCAAGTAAACAGTATACACTTCCACAAGAGCTGCAGCTAATAAACTCTTATAGTCTGTTTTGGAAACTTCCACAAACTAATGTGAGAAAGAAACTTTCTTCTGAAACACTACTGGGAAAAAACCTGGCGCAAAATGAAAGGCAAGTAAGTGGATTTCGATACTTGGATTTCAATGCGTGCAGATCATGACATTCAGTTCAGGACTACAAAACTATATCCTGAACTATTGTTTCCTTGTTTCTTTCTTTGTGTCCAGTTGTCATTTCTGATTTGGTACTTGGATTATAAGGTCTGTGGGGACAGGATTGTCTTTTGCTTCTGGGTCTGTACAACACTCAGCTGAGCAGGGCCTTGGTCTGTGGCAGGCGTTATTTCGTAAGTGTGATAAAAGATAACGACACGATTGGACGCCATCACAGGATGGAGCTGCAGAAGCTATGCCTGCTGTGCTGCTGCAGGCACCGAGCTGGAGAGTATGTTTTTTGTTGCCCTCTCTGATGTAATCAGCTAAAGGCAGGTTTATGCCATCCAACCTGAAAGTCTTCCTAGGCCCTACGGTGGGTCTGCACTGCAAATCACAAAGACTAGCAGCATCTTGTGGTAAGTTCTCCAACGCGTGTCACACTCGTGTTCAAATAAAGCTCTGGTGATTGAAGATTTGGGCTGGTAGGAGTGAAAGGGTTGTATTTAAGAACAAAGGAATAGGAGGGAATCCTATGAAGCCCTGGTAGACATCCTGCAGCAAAGCCTTTTCAGATCGGGTGGAAAGCTCACTATTATCAGGGAGTGAGGTATTCTTTAAAATGAGTAGGAACATCAGAGTCAGATGTCCTGTAAAATCTCCCCTCTGTCCATCAGGATGGTTAGTAAGGCAGCTCTGGTATCCATTAGGGTGTGGGATTGCTTGGGAGTATACTGATCTTGAAAGATTACGACCCTCCTGTCTGAGCTTCCTGTTCGAGTGAATTGCAGTCACTCCCATCAAATATCCTAGAGTGAGCAAGGTCTCAGGAATTCCAGATGGGGAACGACTCACCTATGAAATGACAAATGGTGGCAAAGGAAGAAAAAAGATCTGCTTCGAGTGAATCTGGAACAGATATATGGAGATATCTGCCCCCTTCGGCCAACCTGGAAAAAGAGCACAGAGCGTGACATGGACCAGAGAAGCAGCTTTGAAAAAAATGTGTTTGTTGGAGGCAAGCTGATAATTTTGTTTGCTGTTACATGTGTGAGTTTTTCATCATCGTCACCATTAACATTATGATAAGGGATTTGTTACGGTAAGACACCGAGGTGCTTGTGATACAGAACCAGTTTAATTACTGATTTTCCATTGCACACAGTATCAGTATTGATGTCTTAACTTAGCCTACAGCTTCCTTTATCTGGGAGCTAAATGAAAACAGATGAACTGAAGGCGAGGGTGCCTTCACAGCGTGCACGTTGGCAGTTTTGTGAACACAGCCCCCCAGTTCACTTCATGTGGTTTTCTATGACAGCATCCTCCTCCCTCCACAAGCTCAGAGAACTCAACTCCGTGAACTAAGGGAGCAAAACGTCAGTGAGGAATTTCTGAAATGTGAAAGCATGTCACGTAGAGGGCATGGGAAGATTACCCACGGTGTAGAGACCTTTGAATATTTTTCTCTGGAGCCAAAGGCATGAGAAACGTCTGCTGGTACACACGCACCGGGGTAGGTAACTGGATTTGTTACTTATTTTGTTTTGGTTACCACCTTGAGAAATGCCACGGGATTTTTCACTGTGTGAAATGGCATTTCCAGTATGGCCTACGGACTGAGCACAATGGTCATGCACAGATGTAGGTAAGGAAGACCAACAACGTGAAACATCGGTGATTTAGCTTTTACACTGACGTGTTTGTAAGATTTTGCTCTGAAAGCTATTCAGAGATGTAGGTTCTTCCTGAAGGACGGTGGTGTGCGATAGACTCGAAATGCCAAGGGCCTCCCAGTCCTCCTCTCACCCAATCCGCCCACGTCATGGTAGAGGGCTGCAGGGCTGCATTGCTGCTGTGCTAACTCTGGAGCAGCGATCAGAAAAATGAGCATGAAGTAGCACTCGAATCTGCAGTGAACAACAGAGGTTTCCCTGGAAGTTCACAAGCACTGACTCCTCCGCGAATGGGCCCTGGTGCTGTGCCACCTCACTTTTTTCACAGGCGCAGCCATTGGTGAGAGTACACCTTGAACTGTTTAACTTACGGTCTTGCAGGCTGTTCAGAGATGTTGACTTGTGCTTTGATCTTCAGATCTTTCTGAATTTGTTGGTCACAGGCCTGCTTGAAATTGCCCATATATAACTTTGCAGGCAGTATTTCTACAGGGTATGGCTGGAAGTTGTCTAGTTCCTGCCGGAGAGAAACCATAGGCTCAGTTTAGAGAGTGTATTTGCTCCTATTAGCTTGGCAAGTTCTTAAACAGAAGTCACGTGAAGAATTGAACACACACTTAGTCAACAGCCCATGACGCCTTCTAGTGTAATGATTCATTCAATCACCTGGGCTTTCTGTATATTGAAGTCTTTGCTACATTTAGTAAGAATAATTAACAGCATTGCTGTCATTGTGGCATTACTTGAAAGAAATCCTAACTAAACAGGAGGCGGCATATATTTTTTACGTTGTCTGGAGGGACTGCAGCATAACAGATTCATTTGATGTTTTCCCCGGTTACTGTTTGCGAGGCGAAATGAAATCATCCGCCACCTGCAGAGCTGCAGGTGCCACGTCGTGACACGACACGAGTCCGCAGCTGCTTCCGGTGTCTGCAGCGCGAAGGCTGAGAGCAAAAATCCACAAACAGCCAACCGTGCCTCTACGTCCCCCGCCGATGCTCGGCTAACGCTACAGCAGAACAAAGCAGCAGCCGAACGGTTTAAAGCAACAGAGAACGACAGCTTAAACTGAGAGGCGAGGAGGTACTCTGGGTCCAGCTGAAGCTGATGGGGAAGTTCAGCAGTTTGCTACCCTTCGCAAAGAAGCGCAAAGTGAATTGATTTGTCTCTCCTGCGCCGTAGCACCCCACGGGTTAGCACCGTGTCACAGGCTGTTTCGTGTGAACCAGAAGTGAACAGGAACAACGGAAACAAAAGACATATTGCAATGAGATGCTCTCTGCTGTCCAGTGCCCTCTAAATCTGCCTTGCCTCAGGGCCTGTCCTAGATGTGAAAAAAGGGTAACTGTTTCTCATAAGCTAAGCAGATCAATGTTCGTAGGTGAAACCAAACGATTAGGATACCAGTGTTCCAGTGGATGGCTGTTTTCTTTCTGGGCCTGTTGAGACAATGCAGCAGCGCTTCCTTTGTGATTCTTCCCGATGAAATGCTTTATAGACGTGGAACACAGTGCTTGATAGGAATCGTACTTCTGTCTGAAAACATTTACTGTGTAACATCCCAGATAACCACGTGTTGGAGAGGAACCTGCTTCTTTTCATCATTTGCTACTGTTTGTTTAGTTATCTGTGCTCTCCAGTAGGCCGGTTTTGGGGTTATCAGAGAAACCTTCCCAGTTTGTTTTCATGAGCTTTTTTTCACGCAATAGAAGAAGGATAAAAAAGGCAAAGCGTGGCTGTAAAAGAATTAGTGGCGAGACTCAGGGCAAGCACAGTAACTCAAATTACATTTAATTCCTTTGTTTGAAATGACTCTGATACCAGGTTTACAACACCATTTAACTTGAATTCATCAGCCATCATCAGTTGAATACGAACGCTAATGTCTTCTACTTGCAAATTAGCGTCATCTCACCTGAGGCATCCACAATATCTTCTGAGTCCTCAGAAAATGATAGCAAGCTGAAAAACGCTTGTATCCTCCCCTCAGGACGAGCACGGGATGGCGGGTGAACTGCTCGAAGCTTCTGGCGTATTGGACGGCAGTTCCTTCCTCAGCATCTAATGAGATCAAAAAACCATTTGCCAGGGCAGGTTTAGAGTGCCTCCATCGCTCTAAACTCCACGGGTTAAATCTGGCCCACGGACACCGACAGCAAACTCCTTTTCATTTCATCTAATGGTCTGCAGAAAGCCTTGTAAAAGCTGGACTTACTCTTTAACTGTTGCTGCAGGTCAGTAACGAGGCATGCTGCTTTTCACCTCTTGTCCTGATCTTTTCTTCCTCTCCTGGTTTTTTTTGTAGGTCTAGATAAAGTTTTTTTTCCACCTCCATTATTCTTTGGGAAAGGCTTGTAATAAGTTCCCATAATAGGGAAGTAGTATTAATTTAAATCTAATAATCTTAGTTTTACGGAGGCCCTTTTCTTTAGTCTGCTTTAGGCAAAGGGGGAGGTATCTCGAATAAAGTCGTCACAAGTGTTTTAAACACTCCCCTCAGTGAAGGAAATTATGTGAGGTGGCTGCTCCCCCTCCTTCTCCCAAGGGATCCATCCCGCTTGCCTCTAGCTGCGTCTGCATTAGAAACAGACCAGCACAATAGAAACCCGCTTCTGATTCTTCACACCTTCCCCTGCTACTATCTCACCGCCGAGCATTTCTGAACATGCTTGCTTTATTCATTCCCCTTACACTCCTAGATTTTTTCCTTAAAAAATGATGTAAATCTTTGCTAAAACTACGGTAGCCTTTAAAAAGCTAATAGGAGCCAAACAAACATACAGAAGTGGTTCTGCATATGGCAGAACTCCTTGCCAAAGGATGCGTGAAAGCTAAATATTTCCGTGGTTCAAGGAAGACTGAACAATTACAGGGCAAAGTTTCCAGCTCTTCACATTTCTCGGTGACCTCCATCAAATCATCACCCCCATTAAAGCTAAATCTTTTTAAATATGACAACGTGAAAGCCTTTTATAACCCTCAGAGAAGGAAGTACTCACTCCGTGAACATATGGAACTTGAGTCAGTGTTTTCAATCTCTGAAGAAGCACTGCTCCCTAAAAGGCAATCGTTGAACAAGCCCAAATCTCAGTGAAGTGTGAAAAAAAAAAAAAAAAAAAGAATCAATTCCTCACACGTGACAAAGAACTTCAGAAGGATCAGTCCACAGATAGGAAACCAGACCTGCCAGGAAGCTTTGAAATAAAAATCTGGATTTTTGAAGCCTAAGAACATATGCAACACAGTGAAAAACCAGAGGCACAGCACAGATGTTAGTTTTTCAAATAAAACTGGGTAAATTTGCATCTCTTCTAATAAGCTCATAAAATTAAATGAGGAGTGGGAAGAATATCTATCCTGCAGTGAGGTCTTGACTGACATGGGTCACAGGTACCTTTTTCTTTCTCCTCTTCCTCATAGTCACAGCAATCCAAAGAGCTGGTCTCGCAGTCGTACACCACACAGTATCTGACACACCCCAACTCCTCGGAATCCGGTACCAGATACTCCCCCGTAGGACTCTGCCAAAATCACGGAGGAATTCTATCAGGAGCACGGCTCCGCACTTTTCTTGTGGCATCAACGCTACCGACATCTTGCAAGTTACTACTCTATAGCTATGGGATGGGTTTGGGGCTATGTCTGTCCTTGACTCTGAAAGACCCAGTTAGAATTCAGAAATGACGCAAACTACGCCGGATTGCTTCATCAGCCGCGATGGTAAAGATGCCAACACCGTCCTTTGTCAGACAAGTCTACAGTATGTTAGTTCTTGTGCAATATTTTTCCTGATACACAGCTCCTATGTGCCAATCCTTTGGGCTACTGAAGCCACCTTTGCTTTGTGACAGAATACATCCCCCCTGTGGCAGAAATGGAACACGGCTGGAGCAGGCAGGGGAGAGGCTGGGACAATTCCCTTGGGTTTTAAGCCAATTTTGTCTTACTGCTAATTGCTAAATCCAGGGATGGTTCACACGAGCGGTAATCCCCCCTCACCTGTTCGATCCTGCGTGCTGTAATAATATGGCTCTCATCGTATTCACGCTGGGTACGGGCGTCTGAAAAAAACAACCAAGACAGAGCAATTGGCTTATTTGATGCTTTAAAGGTAGAATCCCGTTGCTAATTGAGTCAGTGGGAACTCAGGCACTGACGTCAACCAGAGAAAGAGATTCAGTTTCTTAGGAACTGAGACTTTCTGATGTGAACATAAGGAACCCCAAGCCTGATGTGAGTCTATGTGTAACACCAAGTGATGCCAGCAGCTTTAGTCCTGACCCGAGTGTGGCACCACCGCGTTCACAGCGCCAGTCCCGTGCTCCGTTCCGCTCTGCCCTCTGGCCTAGCCTGGCCCCACTCGCTGGGCCTGCTCTGACCTCCCGGCATCCAGCACCTCTGCCTCTGCGCTGCCCCGGAGATGGGGAGAGGGGCACCGCAGAGACCCCAACCCCACTCCCAAACTGGCTGACTCCCTCGCCAAAACATTTAATAATATCGCAATATCAGGCACCCTTTTTCTGGTAGTGGCACTCCGCAAGATGCAAATGCTTATCTTTGTGCAATGGTCAAGAAACCTTCTCCACCTCTAAAACCTCCGGGAGCAGCTGGGGAGAGCGTCTGTCCCTGGGACGGGTCAGAGAGGGAAGCTGGATGCCAAATGCAAGGGAAAAGACAGCAACAGGCAGAAAACTTCCTCATTCGCCCTCTGCTGTCGGGCTAAGTGCCGGGAGAGGCTAATGGCCAAACATATTTAGCGCGGCTGCTTTCTGCTGAGCGCACGGGATGAAAGCCGGAGCAGTACCGGGCCACGGCACCCGAAACGGGGCGGGAGAAGCGCCCTAACTGCAAGGCCCCGGTAACGACAAGAAGTCATGTGTGCTCTTCCCCGGACGCCGGGGCCCACAACCCCCGTCTCCTCGGGACGCCTGCCCAGGCCGGCGCGCGGTGCCCGGCTGCAGGCGGAGGCAGGCGGCGGGCCGGC